GCTCCAGGAACTGACGGATTTTATTTACATTTCTTCCAAAGATGTTGGAGTATAGTAAAGGAAGATGTATGGAGAACAGTGGAATTTTTCTACAATGAAGGTTGCTTTGTAAGAAGCTTAAATGCAACTTTCATTGCATTAATACCTAAAAAGAAGGGGCAGAAGAGATAAAAGATTTTAGACCTATCAGCTTGCTAGGTAGTGTCTATAAAATCATAGCTAAATTGTTGGCAGAAAGATTGAAAAGAGTAATGGGCAAGTTGGTGGCAGGAAATCAAAATGCTTTCATTAAAAGTAGACAAATAAGTGATGCCGCATTGGTAGCTAATGAGTGTGTAGACTATTTAAACAGAAAAGGGATAAAGGAGGTTGTTTGCAAATCAGATCTCGAAAAGGCATACGACCATGTGAATTGGGAATGTTTGCTCAATATTTTGAAGGTGATGAATTTTGGAGAGAGGTGGATTAAATGGATCAAAACTTGTATATCAACAGTGAAGTTTTCTGTGTTGGTGAATGGAAATCCTGTAGGATGTTTTAGCTCCCAGAGTGGATTGAGACAAGGGGATCCCCTCTCCCCTTATCTTTTTGTTCTGGTGATGGAAATTTTGAGTTTAATGTAAAAAACTCCGAGAAGTTTGGATGGATTGGGGGTTGTAGAATGCAGAATCATGAAAGAGGAGAAATGAGTGTCTCGCATATTTTATATGCAGACGATACCCTGTTATTTTGTGAAGCCAAGAGGGAGCAAATTCTCTATCTTAGAGGAATCCTGTCAGGCTTGAAAATAAACCTGACAAAGAGTTGTATTTTTAGCATTAATGCTGATAACATGATTGAGGAACTGGCTGATATTCTGGGTTGCAGAATTGAAAAGTTTCCAACCAACTATTTGGGGCTTACACTTGGTGCGAAGAGGAATGATAAAAGAATGTGGCAAAGTGTAACTGATAAATGTACAAAGAAGATGTCCACATGGAATAAGCAATATCTATCCTTTGGTTAGTGTTTTGGATAGCATGCGGCAACAAATAGCTACGAGGGCCCGCTTCACTAAGGCGAGAGGCGAGCAGCGAAGCGCTCGCTTTTTTGACGTGAACCGACAATTTATACAAAAAAATAAAATATTATATATATAACTAAAAACTCAATAGGAATAATATATTAATAAATATATCAATTCAATAATTAAAAACTCAATATATAGTCATAGTAGATTCATAAACTAAAAGTCTAAAACAAGTAACATCTATTCTTCTTCAAGATTTTCAAATTCTTGAACTTCACATTATATTGGCTATCATCTTCTTCATCCTCAGAGTCTTCATCAATTAGGGACCGGCTTGAACTTGTAGCTACTCCCTTTCCCTTGTTATTTGAACTTGAAGAACTCCCTCTAAGACCATAGATATTCCCCTCAACTCCAGCTGCCAAAGAAACAGTACCCCAATCGAGATCATCTCCTACATACATTTGTTCATCTTCAAGATTTTGGAGGGCACCAGTTAACCATTCATTTGCCTCGTCAATGTTATCCAACAAAATTGGATCAATGGTATCGCGATCTTCATAACGACGCCTCAATGTTCTATTGTATTTAATATACACTAGATCATTGAGACGCGAAAGCTCAAGCCTATTCCTTTTCTTGGAGTGAATCTGCGCATAAGTTGTAGAGATTAATTAATAGATACTAATAATAATACAATATAGAATATATTAATATAATAAATCTGCTTCTTACATGCTCAAATACGCTCCAATTTCTCTCGCATCCAAATGCACTACAAGTTAGGCTTAGTACTTTGTCGGCAAACTTTTGCAAGTTTGGAGTTTGATGACCAAATTGCATCCACCATTCAACTATAGAAATATATTTTAAAAGTTATTAAGTATAAATAAATCAAATAAATTAAATTAAAGCTATAAGGATATCTATATTAAAGTTAGTTACCTGGCGACCTTATGTCTCTGACTCTAATGGCCGCCTGTAAACCAAATAGGTCACCTGCTTGTGAGTACCTACTAAACTCCTCCCCTATTTGATCTACCATCGCTGCATTGGGGACCAACTTCTCAAGACATTTATGGTATCCAACCCACACCTTTGAATCTAAAGTGCCATCTCTATTATTTTTGTAAAATAATCCCGGGTTCAGAATATGGTCTGCTGCATGCAAAGGTCGATGAAGTTGATTCGACCACCTGCTATCAATAATCTCAAAAATTTTCTCATATTTTCTCACATCTCCCTCTCACTAGTATGAAAACATTAGTAGGAGACAATGGATTTTCTCATGCCTGTGAGTCTACATTAGGAGGCATTGTTCCCATACTTGTTTATCTTAGTTATGAATTAGTTAACTAACACTAGACATGATAAGGTCCCATGATGTATGCTATTTGCAGGCGATATTGTATTAATTGATGAAACTAACGGGGGTGTCAATTGAAGTCTTGAATTATGGAGAACCACTCTAAAGAGTTAGAGTTTTTAGATAAGTAGAAATAGAATTGATTGTATGCACTGCAAGTTTAGCCCGTATAAAGTGAGTGAAGTTGAGGTGAGATTAGACAGGATTGCGGTGCCTAATTGCAACCAGTTCAGATATCTATGCTCAATATTCTAGGAGAATGGTATGATAGATGATGTTATACGTAGAACTAAAATAAGATAATTGAAAAGGAGAAGCGTATCAGAGTATGATATGATAAAAGGATATCTACCGAATGAAAGGCAAGTTCTACAATATGATGGTAAGATTAGCAACATTATATAGGACTATAGGAGAATGTTGAGCATCTAAACTTAAAATATCCATAATATGAGTGTCTCAGAAATGCAAATGCTATGATAAATGAGCACTCATACAAATTAGACTAGATTAAAAATGGCAATATTCGGCAAACGGAAAATGGTCAAAATTATCCCTCTATTATGCTAAAAGGATCATTTATACCCTCCGTTATATTTTTGGTCTATTACTGACTTGTACGTTATAAAAATGGTGCAAAAATACTCCTCCATTAGGACCCTCCAATGTCCTAACATTTTACTGAAGTGGACGCCACGTGGTATGTCACCTCACCATCTCCAACCCCCTCATACAAATGCATCAAAATATCTCCGTCCATTCTCGTCAACTAAGTATTGCATCTTTCCATCCGCCAAATTCAACTTGTCACAAAGACCACAAACAAATGTTCAAGATTACAACAAAAAACAGTAATTAATGAATCAGAATTAAACCCAATAAAAAAGAATCTTGATTTTATAGTAACTGATACATTATCAACAATAGATGATAAACTATATTAGAATCTTGATTCTATAGTAACTGATGCTTACGGGCTTCTTGTAAAAATGGAAGATGTCATCTTGTTGAAGAGGCAGATTGTGCAACTGAGGAACTGGATTGATGACTGAACAAGGAATGATTCTTTCCCAGCAGTGTCCTAGGAATTGTTTTTGCATCTTGACAGGTGATGAAGCTTGGAAAAATCAACTGACGTTGCTCCTAAAAATAGAGGATGAAATTGTTGGTAGTTGTTAAAAAAGAATGATTTGTGTTTATTTATACAGATACAGAGTATATAAAATACTAGAAATGCTTTGCGATTCAGAGTCACATGTCATGAATCACCTTTTATCTGGAGTCATCAATTCCTACCTTTTAGTCCGTTTTCAGAAATAAGTTTGTTTGAGATCTTTAAAGTTACTCCACTGTTTTGTCAAAATGTCAAAGTCAGTTAATTTTTGGTATGGTAATGGTGATGGGTTTTGCGATTACAGAGAGGAGGGGTGCCAATTGAGAGTTTCCACAGTGAATGTAATGGTTGGATGAAATTTAAGGAGGTAATAGTGGAGGTGGTGGTGAAAGAAAGCTTGAAGTAGTGGGGTAGGGGAAAAAAATGGGGTTGGAGGTGGTGAGGTGGCATTGCCACATGGCGTCCACCTCAGCGAAATGTCAGGCCACAGGGATGGTGTTTGCCACATGAGGGGGTCTTAACGGAGGAGGGGTATTTTTGCATCATTTATGTAACATCGGGGGTGATAGTGGACCGGAAGTATTAATGGAGGGCATAAATGATCCTTTTCGCATAATAGAGGGATATTTTTTACCCGTTTTCATTTGGCAAATGTTGCAAGCAGCACACAGAGGATATAAGAAGAGATTGTTGCTTGAAATGGTTTGGTCTTGCCCTATGTCGACCTCTAGATACACTAGTCAATAGGTGAAAGTAAACTTGTTAAAAAGAAACGAAGATAGCACATGGAATGAAGTTGTCCCAGGAAACCTACAATCTCTTGGAATCTATGCGGACTTAGCGAAAAGTAGAGCACAGTAGAAGAAGAAAATCTATATAGACGATACCAATGAGTTGGAGTTAAGGTTTAGTCTTGTTAATGTGTTTATTTTAGGTCCAACATTTTCTATGAGCTTGTCTTGTAAAATATTTATAGGTCAGTAGAAAATGTAGAGAACCTACCAATAAAAAAATAAAAGAAATTGTAGAGAACTTTGAATGCTAGAGAAATTAATTTTTTATAATATTGTACTCGACGGGCTTAAATGGAGCGACGTGGACAATGAAGATTCATATAGCCAACCGTAACTTGCTTGGAGTTGAGGCGTAGTTGTATCATCTGGTACTAGAATGTTGAATCTTCATAATCATTCTGCATGTTTTTGATGTCCGGTTGGGAGGTAAGATTCCCACCATGTTAAAAGGCCTTACAAGGCCTTTGGTGCAGAAAAGCTAAATAAGGCTTATTCAGATTTATAGGCTATAGTAATCAGATGATTCAGGTTTATTGGCTGTAATAGTCAGATTCATATTGACAGGTGGTTGTAACTCTTAATGGAATATGAGTGTTCAGATTCTTAATATTTGAGTTCATCCAAGTGAACAAGCTTTAGATTTTTCAGTACTTATGAAAAGGTTTTCTTCGCTAAAACATTATTTTGGTTAGTATAAGTAAATTGTTTTGTATTCAGGTAATTTCTCTTTGCTTCAAGGAGGGATCTTCTGGAAAAGGACTCAAGGGCATGAAAGAGGTAAATAGCTATACCACTAAGTGAAGCATATTGATAGTCTATGAATGCTCCCCTGCTTAAGGTAGTTTTGTCTCCATTAGGTTGCAAAAGGATATATAAAAGGTGAGAGAGTCGGGTTTGCACAACTCTCTCCAGGTGTTGATCTTTACCTTTGTCCGCGGAGCGATGCAATTATCACTATTCTTGCAAAATATGGTTTCTTTAAGGGAATGGCAGCAGTGGAAGGAAACTCTGAGTTGATGATTGGTTGTGTTGTATGGCGGAAGAATCGAACAGCTTTGACTTCTGTTGCTAAAAAATCTGAGGGAAAGGCTAATTCCTCGCAGGAGCAGCTTCAAAAGTCACCATCTGATTCTTCTACGTTGCAAGGTGGAGGACAAGGTTCTTTACCTGTGCCATCAGTTGAGAACTCAAAACCATCCCCACTCAGCTCTTTCTCAATGCTTGAACAAGCAAATGTTACTGATGACAAGAACGTTGGTATTGATTCCTCAAGCAGGACAACCTTAACAACTTCCGGTGAGAAGTCACCCACTTTTCAGCAAAAAGAATCTGCACTTTCCAGCTCGCATCTTTGGGGATCTAAGGGGGGGAACTTCTCGGAACCACCCAAGGGAAGTACGGACCTCCCAAAAGTTGTAACATCACTGCTGCCAGATGCATCAAAACCAAAAATGGTGTTTTCAGAAGATGACGATCTCCCTGAATTTGACTTTGGAACTGCTAGTGGAATATCTTCAAGTTCCCATCGTTCTGATGGATCCATTCTTGACAATCGACTTCAACTTTCTGGAAGTAGGATTCTAGATATGTCTAAACAGCCAATCTTACCTATAGCACCCTCAGTTTCCATGAGTATTCCTAGGTCAATATCATCTGTCAGTCAAAGTATGCCCCTAGCTAAAAATGTCACTGACCACGGACACCCAAAGTCCATTGGTGGTCCAGTGGCAGTTACAGTTTCCGCCTCTGGTTCACCACTGATTCCGCTTGATAACTCTGGCAGGAAGAGTTTATTTTGTGATGATGATATGCCTGAATGGTTGCCACCAGATGGTCAGGATGAAAGAACAAATGAACAACCAGGAAACTTCCCCCCTGAATCTTCAACCTCAACCTCAACCTCAACCTCAAGGAGGTTGCCACCTTTGCCCACAGGATCAGTGTACCCTTATCCATCTTCCACCACAATGCATAGTGGTTTTTCTTCCCGACCATCTCCTCCACTCTACCATCTGCCTGCCAATTCCAAAGTGCCACCCCCCATACCCTCTCAAACTGGTCCTAGTTATTTGACAGGATTCACCTTTAATCCAGCTCCAAGGCCACAGTCTAGTTCACTTCCTACTGACAGTTCTTTGCAGCATGCCGATAAAAGAGTAAGGAGGTCTTGATAATAGCATGTAAACTCAAAGTAAAAGATTTATTTGAATATTAGTCAGCAACATTTCAAAGCTGTACATATGCATGAATAGCAGGTTCATGGACAGGAGTAAATTGTGACAGGTTTTATAGTTGGTTTTTCTTTCCTTTTTTCCCCCTTTGTCTCAAGTAGTGTTGCTACAGTACAGTTAAACAGAGGACAATTGTTGGGAACAGGCTTTTTTGCATCTTATACTTGCTTCATTTAGCTGCCTTAATCAGCTGTATTATTGGATCTTTTTTCCCTTGTTTTCCCGCCAGTTTGCCCCTGTATATAGTTCATATTGATATCCTTGTGTTATAGATTGATGATGTGTTTAATAGTGTCGACTGTGTAAACACACTTTAAACAAGTAGTGGTTTCTTTCTGGCCTGTAACTCCTATGTAGGCATTGATTCTCTTTCAATATGACTAGTGATTATTTGATTCAATTCACAAGATTTTAGACAAAAATATCTTTCCTGTGTACAGAGCCAAATGATGATATCTCGATTTCCTTGTGCACATCTAGATGTGTTTAGTAATACTCTCCTAGTTTTAGTTCTTGAAGTTGGAAAACATCTCGAGTAGCGTGTAGCTCAGTTGGTTTCACTTTAGGCTTTGAGCTTCGGGTCTATCGGAAACAATCTCTCTACCTACACTAGGTAAAGGTAAGGTTGCACGCTCACTACCCTTCTCAAACCCCACTTGTGGGATTACACTTGGTATATTTTTATTGTTATAGCTTGTAATCCCCTTTCATATTTCTCTTTCCTCCGTCCTTTGTATAATTAAAATGAACTTTAAGAAGTGCCATTTTTAAAATTTTGTGGTTAACATAAATTCTCATCCTGATTTTCAAGTTGTAAAGACCTCACTTGCGTTTCTTCCACATAGTTTTCCTCGTGTTTTGTCAATATAGAAGCGTTGTGCACCGAGATAACTTTTTGTGCATTGAAAAGGTTAGGGCAAATTGAGTCTATAAGAAATCACAAGAAGGTCAAATTGGTTTTAAATTCCTGCTAACACTTGAGATATGCTAAAATAGAGCACGTGGACAGTAAGAATTCTTGTAGCCAATCATATACTAGGAATTGAAGCTTAGTTGTTCTTGCTATTGTATTTTGCTTGAAATCTAGGGACAGGTGGAAAAAGAACATGCAAAAAATTTGGTTTGGACGAAGAGCAAGAATGCAAAAAGGAAATTTTAAAATAATGTTTCGACTTTTCTGAAATGGAATGATATTTGTGAACCTAACAGGAAATTAGTTGTCTTTTAGTTTTTCTGTACTTGTTTTATTGTTTACTCTATAGACTTCTTGAGCCGTAGGTCTATTGAAAACAGCATGCCTACCTTAAGGTAAGAGTAAGATCTGCGTACACAGTACCCTTCTCAGATTACACTAAGCTTGTTTACACTGCGTTTGTTGTTGTTTACTCAACAGATAAATCCAGCAAGAGAAAGGAAAATGTAAAGTTTTCCATCGTTACTTCTTTTCCTCCCTCTAGATTCTAATCAAAGCACAAACTCCCTTTAATCATGTGATACAATACATTGAAACTCTAGCAATGCCTCGTCCATAGAGTTGGCAAAGGACTCACCTGAACTGATGTTTTGCAATGTATGAATATTCAAGTTGTAATCGACTCCAACACACAACTAAGTGCGCAAAATTACTAATCTAAACAAATAAAAGCACTCTGAAAGAATAAGAGTAAATCATTTACAATATCAAACAAGTGACAATCAAACCAACAAGCAGCAGATCTACTTATGCCAATTCTGCGCCAAGGAGGTCAGCTATGACATGTTAACTCATGTCAACTGATCTCTCTGTTTCTTTCTTTTTTTCTTCTTTTTCCTTTTTTTTA